TGCTAATAATAAATCCTAGGAACTTAACTTCCTTCTTATAGAACTCGCATTTTTCGGGGGCTGTCTTAAATCTAACGTCTATAAGTCGCTAAAAGACGTCTTAGACTTACTTAATATATTTGCTAAGTTCTCCTTTAGTATAGACGAGAATGTCGTCTATATAGGTAATAATATATACGTCGAGCAAGTCTCGAAGGGTCTTATTAACGAGATCCTAGTAAGATACCGGCGCATTTGTTAATCCTATTAGTATAACGAGAAACTTATATAGTCTATAGCGTATCCTAAATACGGTCTTATATTCCTTGCCTTTCGCTATACGGATAGTATAGAAAGCGTCCCGTAGGTCGATCTTCGTAAACTAGTCTGCTCCTATAAGTCTGTCTTAACTCTCTTCGATATTAGGTAATAGGTATCTGTTCTTAATAGTAACCTCGTTAAGACGTTTATAGTCTATAACGAGTCGTAGGTCGTCCTTATTCGCTTTAGGGACGAAGAGAATAGAAGCTCCTACTAAGGAGGTAGATCTTCGAATCTATCCCTTAGCTAGTTTCTCCTTTAGCTATTTATCGAGCGCGTGTAGCTCTTTCGTAGATAGCGAATATATAGGTCCYTATAGGGCTTCTTTACCGGGCTAAATGTTAATTCGGTAGTCCTAGGGTTAATGTTTAGGTAGGGYATCTAGTCCTTCCTCTTCCTAAAAGAGTCGCTTCTATTTCTAATACTCTTTAGGGATGTTAGATAGTRCGTAACTTCTATTACTACTCGTAAYCTAGCGACTTCCCTAACCCTTAGGAATRTCTATCCGAGCTAGATCCGGTTCTCCGGTCCTATCCGACTAGAGCTATATATAGTTTAGCTRTCTCCTAGTCTTATCTACTACYRTACGCTACCGGCGCGTAGGTAGAATGTCGACTACGYAGTYRYATTTCTTAAATATAAGTACTCCTCTTCTCTAGTCGATAACTAGGTTGTGCTTTCTTAACTAAGGTATRCCTAGAACGATRTTATAACTAGCTATATTAGTAAYATCTAAGAYAATTTCCTTATAGTRCCGTTAGATAGTAAGTAGTAGCGGTATCGTCTCTCGCTCTACGCTAGGTAAGGATAATCCGTCGACCGCGATTAATTTATACCCTATCTTYTTACGCTAGGTAGCGATCCTATATCGTATAAYAAATAATTCGGAGGTAAAGTTCCCGCTCGCTCCGGAATCTATTATAGCTTATAGCCGATAACTATTAACRAWAATCTATRTTCKRAAGACTRTTATTAATRCTTAAGCATTTTCGGTATTRTAGTACTCTCTAGGGACGCTTATTCCCTAARAGCCGATCCTTTTCCYRACTAGGTYTTRCTAGCTTCTTTAGCTAGCTAYRCGTAGATCTTYYRTTCCGTKTCCTTTACTATAGTAGCGAGYTRTTRTTCTCTCGCTATATCGTT